TTCAAGAATCAGTTTTTTCTTCTTTGGCAATGTAAATACGTGGAATCCTATTCGCGAGCAGTTTCCGCGCGTTTAAGCAGGCATTGCGCGCAGCGTGCAGGCGGGTGCAGTCCGCACGCGTGGCTACACGCGCGGCATTCCGCCCGGCCGGCTGCTCGATACATGGGAATTATCGACAACAACTATCGATTACAGACGGAAAATGTATTTTATTATTATAGTAAGTAGATGAAGTTGTATGACGTAGGTAACTACGTCTTGGTAATTATGAGTGAATGATTGCTGAAATTATGTTGTTTGTATGTTAAAAAGTATTACATTGCAATACACATGATAGCAATGTAATGTTTTAATCGAGAATCACGCGATGTAAGGTTGGGTTCGATGTCAAACAGAACAAACATCGATGTTAGTTCAGATTTGTCGATATCCGCTGAAAGCTTTAAAACTTACTTCCCTAGTGGAGCTGAACCGAACTTGTGTTGTAGTTCGCGCAGTAATTAGCGAACTTTGTTTGTTTGCACGTTTAATTAAATGAGCACATCGGATACAATGTCTTTGAAGTTGAATGAAGGAGGTAGGTTGTGCGGTAACCTCGTAGTTTGGTGGAGTTACTTGAAAAAGGTTGGCAAATCTCGTTTAAAGAAGTTCAACGGAATGAGGTCTACAAACATTTACTTCGAAGCGAAATCTTGTGGTCTAATTACAGCTTGAATAATTTGATTTCATTGAAACTTGAGATGTATTCAAGAGTTGAAAAATCGAAAGTATAATTATCTTTCCAAAAGAATGATAGATATAAACGTTAAGCTCGTAAATCTATATAGAAAAGAACATGGATGAAAATATCACATGTTCAAACAAAGTTTTATACTTTTTGTGATTAGAAACCAAGTTGAGACAGCAAAACTTTCCCGTAGTCATTAGTCGTAGGGCCTACTCGGCTCGCAAGTTCCCACTCGAGTGTCAAACCGCACTGGTGTCATCGGTTGTGAGACATGCAAACTATTTACAGCTAGAGCGAGATCAAAAAGCAAGTTTCCGTAGTCGGGTTAGTCCGTGATCGAACTTGGTGTAAAACGGCTACAGTCCCTAGAAATACGGTCGAAAGTTTCACTGTATTAATAGTTTGATTTCCTTGTGGCCTTTGTACATAACTAGCGGCTCTAATTAACTAAAGCGGCTAAAATTATACAATGTTAGGCAGTTAACCCTCCGAGCATAACAAACACTGGAGGATCCGAGTATTGACACGGCAGTATTCTAATCGTTGGTGCGACTGTTTGCACAAGTGTGTCCTTTCAAATGCTTGCACCTTCACCCAGTTTGGATAAGTAGGCCAATTAATAAATATGCCGAAACTAATTGAACACAATGACGATTTCGTTCATCAACAAAAAAGTGAAATATATAGGTAGGTAGGTATGTTATGATTTTTTCAGATTCTAATTTTAGAGTCTCTCATCCCACTTTGATATATTCAATTTTGGATTGTTACAAAACCGTTAGTACTTCCAAAGACACTAATTGGTAAATAATAATAATCAAATTGATTGGATTTACTCTCTTTGAACGGGTGCACTAGTCACTTTATCCAAGTTTTTCCAAATTGTTTCCCCCTGCTCATAAAGGATCTTAGTGAAAGGAATGCTCATGAACAACGAGGATCTATCACTCCTAACACCCAAATCGGAATGAGCAGCTCGATTGCCTCCAACGGCTTTATGTTTGGTTACTGAACGGATCTCGCTTGATTGAGAGGCCGACCGCGTGCGATTGGCCAGTTAAACAGTTTGAAAGAAGCATTCAAATGGACGATCGGAAAAGTTTCGATGAATAACTACCTAGCTATTGTATTAAGTAGTTTCCATTGAAAAGTTTTAAATAGGAAACCCTTTCTTATTAAATGAAAGAAACTCCTCTTTGTGGTAGAGTGTAATTATAAAGAGAATATAGCATTTTCAATCAATCAAGAATCAGTCATAAATTATTTGGCAAAATAAATTTCCTAAGCCAGTAAAACGTTTCTCTTTCTAAATAGGCATCATAAATAAGACCCACATTTTTCTACAAAAACTCACGTGTTTAGAAACTCACTATTGAACGAAATAGTGAGGGTCGATTATAACCACTTAAAATGTCTAGAGTCAGCGGTTCTAGCTAGTCTTCAACAAAATATAGGCTTCAAACTGCCTTGGGAATTTCCGAGAATCAGAACCTGTTTCCAATAAAGACATTTAAAAAATATGACACAACTCGTTAGTTCGTCACTCGTTTCCACGTACTTCAGCCGCTCATCCAATTAGCTGTGACAAACTAGGCTCTTGATAGATCGATAATGCAGTATAAATAGGCTATTGATGCGGTGACCTGGCCTGCGCTAGTCCTCCCGGACCCGTCACCCCTCCCTCCTCAACTATAATAACAGCATTACGAGGACATTTCATTGAAGTTGGACAGCTCTACTTTCACTGGCCGATAAGCTACAACGTGGCTACAACGTTTGATTAGGCATTTATACGTAGTTTGCGTCATTGTAGGGTCTTGGTGTCCACTTTTAGGTGGATATTCTTGGCGGGCTAAATGTAGAAAGACATTTAAATAGTAAAAGAATGATCGGGGTTATTTCATGTCAGTTGGATATTATTGAGTGTCAACTTTGATGTATGACGGGACATTTTTCGTTTATGAAAGGGTATTTTTATGCTTCAGAGTCTTTGTTGTCTCGAATTTATATGTGGGTAGGTAGGTATGGGTGTGCTCTTAAATCTCGTTTTGTTTTTGCTCTTAGCATGTCTCTATTTTTTTTAAACTGTCATCGTAATTATTCTAAACCATCATTCTTTTGCATTTTATATCTAAAAATCATATCAATTTTGTCGTAGGTTTGTTAGACTCGGTATTCGACTACAAAATAAAGAAAATCCTATCTGGCTTTACAGCCCTTCCATTTCGCCGCGCTCCGGAGTCGATAAAGAGGACAAAGCTAATGCAGGTGCAGCTCAGCGCCGCGCAATCAGCAGTAAAGATGGCAGCCGAATGATGGCCGCGCTGACTCGGCATCCTGCGGGACCCATTCCACTCTACTGACGACAGCGTCTATTGTTGATCCCTATCCTGAATTGCATCGTTGCAAAAGACTTCTACTTGTTACATAAAATTCATCGACTAAACTAACTAATGCCATTCTGCGGTTCGACAAAATACAGTCAATAGATATTTATTTCTCACATTTACTGACTTCTCCCACAATCCTACAAAATGCGCGAAACTTCAGGTTCACTAAGGGCTCCGATATATCAATATTAATGACGATTGAGGCCAGTACAAATAATGCGCGCTCTAGGAGTTACACCATTATAAGTTTTGAGACCACAACAACAAGCTTTTGAGATTTGATGGTAACCGCTAGTTAGTTTGAGTTTAAATGTCAGTGACGTCAGAAAAAAGGTTCGGTTCTAAACAAGTGAAAGTGTCGTGTACGAGTAGCTAGGTACTATGAGAGAAAAAAAAACACTCTACACAGTCTGTAATCTAACACAGCTGTAAAATTATAACTTTGATAGAGTAATGAATTCGGTTATTATACTGGTAGCTCTCCTGATTGGCAGGGTTAAAGTAATACTGGGACGTGTTATTCGCTTTTTAAAGGCCTATTTGCTGGAATTAAATTACTTTTTTGACTTTAATTATAATTACCCATACGAGTATACGCTACCTAGTATACCCACTAATAATAATCATGCCTTTTATTTTATGAATAGCTAAAGGAATTTTATTATAATGTTACGAGTTTACCCAACAATAAAATTAGGGATGATATGTTGATTCAATTGGGCTGTAGACTGATTCAGCGATCTTCATATAAAGTGTGAAATTAACAAAGGACAGAACGCGACCAAAAGCTGGATGAGGATAACCATTTACCATAATCTGGCAGATTATGTAGATCCAGGGTCACTCGATTAATTCAGATCTCAACTCACCTTCGCTGCTTATCCTCGGATAATTGCTTTATGTCTAATTAATTGGGATACGAATATCACTCGGGTATAGCAAACATTTTGTGTAATATGAAGCTTAAGACCACTTATTTTTATTACAATCTATGATCGGTAACTTAGATAAAATAAAAAAATATTTGCAAGATGTTTAGATATGGCTATGACCTATGTCCACCAGTATTTAAAGTCATAAAGGTAATTAAGTTATATAAAATTTTATTTACTACTGCGTTATCGAACCAAAACGTTTTTTGGACAATGCAAACTGACTACCTAACTGATGAGGGAATTATAATAACTTGGTCTTACATGATATAATACATTCCTGTATCGTTCTCTGATTCACTGACAAAAGACACCCGCTGAGACATCAAATCAACCCCGATCAGTTCAGTTCCACCTCGCCAAAGAGTCCCTCATACGATGAGCGTAATCAACGCGATTATCCGAGTGTGATTATCAATCGATCGAGGTACGATTGACAAAATGAGGGATGTGTAGTGTAATGATATTATCTAGTCAATGAGAGTTAGGGAGCATTTGCTAAAATTTCAGGAATTCCCAGAAAAGATTTGTACAATAATTATGCCCATTATAAAATTATCACTTCACGGGATTTATTGCAACAATATCTATTTTAACGGTAAATAATATTTACCCTCCCGACGTTACCGTTAAAATAGATAATGTTGCAATAAATCCCGTGAAGTGATAATTTTATAGTAAAAAATGCAACATAATAGTTTAAAAAATTATGCCCATTTTCACCATCAATCCCTAATTTTTAAGTGACCCATATGAAAACAAAATGCCTGTTATGTGTTACCATAGGGGTCACTTAAAAATCCCAGAAAAGATGCGTTAATTAGGTACAATTACGAGTAGTAACTTTAGATGATAAAATATTTAGGCCTTATACCTACTTGTTTTCTCTGTAAAATGATGTTACATGTGACATTATATTCTGTTGATGAAAGTCAACTAAGTATTATTTATTGAATACGTTGAACATCTGTCTTAACTTGTCTGTCTAAAGCTGATTTATTGTTTAGACCTTATATTGTAGTGGATATTGATTCTGTCGCGGAGTTTCGCTTACCTAAAAAGAAGTAAAACCGTATTAATTTTATTTTGTAAAAAATTACATCTAAATTATTTAAGTTATAGTTTTAAAATTAACTATTGTGGTTATTCTACAGACAAAATAGTTTCATCAAAATGTAGAGCATGGATGAATTTAGTTAGAACCATATCGATGTAACTGCAATTTAAATGCAACTTTTAGGAGCTGCCGTTTACGTGCCAGAACTCCAAATGAGCGTGTAATTCTAAAAAAAATAATAGTTGAGGCTTTAGTTAGAGCCTAAACTATTGGCAAAGACAACAACTACTGTAGGTAGGTTAGTATTTTAAAACCTTGACCTAAAACTTTTTTTAGTATCAATACTTAAGTGTTTCCGAGAACTTTGCAAAATTTTATCAAGAATTGCGAAGGAAGGGTGTCGTAGCATGGAGCAGCGATCGAAGCATATCTTTTATTCACAATGCACATTTGTATTATATACTGCTTGTATTTGCAACTTGCAAATATTCACATATGAACGATTTATTGAATTTTGCGAGGAAACTAACATGGTTACACATTACAATACAATACTACCGTGATTACAAGTATTTTATTAATTTATGGTTATTGGATTTTATCCGACATTCATGTTTACAGATTGATGAACTGCGATGAGGTGAAGTTGTAACATTTTGTGGTGATTTTATACCATTGAGATACTATTATTTAATTTCTTGATTATGTGTTATTAATACAAGTATATTATTTTAACAAACTCGATAAAGATTATGATATTATCAAGTTTATAAGATATCTCAGCAAAGTAATTCGCGAATCGTGTAATCGCCGACCAAACCAGCCACCGTTATATTCGGGACGCCCACGCGGGATAAGCGCGGGAACGAACCCGCGGCCCGTGTTAATATGCTCAGTAGAGTGTGCGGGCCAACTAGCAAACATTATCATTGTAATTGGAGCCAGTAAATTGATATTGTTACCATTTCAAATCGCCAGTTGCAGGAAGTTAAACAGTACACTTACTTCAATTAAACAGATTTAAGTATGTTTTTCGTCATATTGTTAATTTTATATGGAATATTCTATGTATATTGGAAGCTATTGATGCATATTGTCATGACGTCAAATTTTAACAGTTGGTTTTGAAGTTAATTATTTCGTCGTAAAATAATTGCTATATTGTGTAATGCCTATGTGCCAGCCTTTGTCCCATTGCCATTGCCGTGTTTTTGTTTTGTCCCTTGGATGTCTTTGCGGGGTAAATAACGAATTCTATTGTATTTCTAGTGGCCTCAAGTCAGGGCTGAGTTTAATTGTATTTTCGAGACTAATTATGTTAGGTTAATTAGTTTCAAACCGATACTTATGTATTTAGGTTGTCGTGGCATCTGTGCAAACTGTGTTGTAAGTTGAAACATACGAGACAGTGACAACATATAAATAGTATATTGTCGTCCTTGATATAGTGTGAACGTTTGTGAGTTAAAAAAATAAGATAAAATACGAATTCAGGAATTGTGAATAAACAATTTTATACCGTGAAACCAAACGTGAAAGAGTCTGTGCTAATGTTACTGTGTACATAAAATATAGCTCTACAGTTTCTAAAATGGACTGAAAAACGTTTCTTTGAAAGTTGGGTAGAATAGATTTATTCCATTTCCATCAAAACAGCTAATCAAACGAATATATTTGGGAAATTCTTAACAAATATAAAAGGCGTGTGAAAGTTGGTTCCAAAATGAGGCCCTTTTGAAGCCCAATGTTAATTAAACCCACAGAACTAAACAACTATCTTACAGGCCATTGAAATTGTAAATGAAATTGAAATTTTGTCTCGAATTGCGCGAAAGTGGTCGATAGGCATTTAGCTTAAGCCTGAGGTTTTCAAACTTCGTAGATACCTAATATTTGTTTTGACGGTCACATCCAAACATTCGTATTCATCTCATCTTTCCAAATTCATTTAATTAAACAATCTTTCAAATAAAATAAAATGTGCTGTGTTATATAAAATAAAATATTACTGTGCATAGCATTACTCTTTGTGTACATGTTTTCCGAAGTTTGAATAGCACTGGCTGAGGCGCCTATAATCTGCCTACTGTAGTAGATTGCTGCTAATACCGTAGAGTTCTGTTTGAGTTGCGCACCTCGATATTACGCCGCCCGGCTTTAAATTTAATTACGACGGGAAATAGTTATAACTCCCTTTCAGGAGATAAATAAAACGCAGCATTTTGATAAGTTTTAGTTTTAGTATCAGCAATTTCAGTAACAATTTCTAATTGAGTTGAACATTGTTAGTTTGTTTAGGACGTGGATAGTAAGTAGTGCACATTAATACGAAACGACACGGAACTATAAATATTTTTTGATTGTGAATAAAGTTCATACATAAATAAATAAAGTGATAAAAATAAGTAACCAATCACAAGTTGAAAAAAATACGAATCGTGAAACTGTGTAAAAGAAATGTTGGCAAAATATTGCTTATTTCTTCTCATCGCTATAAATAAAGGTAAGAAACATAATTTAGTGCTTGCAAGTTTTAAATAGTGTCAATATTTAACTAGTCCAAAAAGTTCAGAGTTAATCCAAGCTGTATGTTCATTTCAAGATGTGTCAAATTACTAATTTTAGAACATCTTGAAATGAACATTGCTTTAAAGACCTATAAAGGGAATGTTACAGAAATCCTACAAATATGATACAGGATAGTCATTTTGGCAGTTCAATTGATTCTGTCACTTTCACATCTCATGTTAACGATGTTATAATGTGCCAACTGTACGTTGAGATACGAGTATGTTGCTGGCACAATTTGCAAAATTAATTAATGCGATAGTAGCTAGCTAATTAAGCCTAAATATAGGTTTGGTTTAGCTTTGATGCGATTCAACTATCACTCGACAAAAGCAGTAATTACAAATTCGTATTAAGTACGGACAATGAAATTTCCGGGCCTTTTATTAATGTTCGATTCAATGAAATCAAATGTAAATCTATCTATATTAATTAGTTTATAGAGGCAAGCAGTAGTTAGCACTATTACTAGCCACCTACATTAGAAATTGATATAAGTAATTTAGTTTTTAGGTTTTTAGTATTTATATGTTGTCTTTTCTTCTATTCTATTTTATTAATTTTTTTCAAAGGAAGCAAGCATTCACCGTGGAATTTCGTACAACTCAGATAAAAGTTCAAATTAGGCTGTCAACAATTTTATTTGCTTTTTGTTTGTCGCGAAGTAAACAGGAAAATGTATGATTCCACGTTCCGTGTGAGCCCAAATCGTGACTCATTATTATCCCTTTCATGAAACCCGGCACATGTGTGTGCATTCAAATGTTTGCTACATTATTTATAAAGTACCACGAATATGGGCCTGTAAGTAGAAGTTTAGCTCTTGCTTTTGGTAAATATAAAGGTAATCAGGAAATCATTTACTTACTCAAGAGACGTTTGATTTCAACAGAAAATATGTATAAAGAAAGAAATTAATGTAACGTTTCCGTATTTAATAAACTTAGTTGAAACAGAAGCAGATTATGTATAAAACCAAAAAAGTTTTTCAAGTAGTTAATGTATTTCAAATTCAGCCCTGTCTAGTATTTCACCGAGCAACCAAATAAATTTTAAACGATTTACTTATTTTATGTTACCTTTATAATTCACTGAAACGCTAGGATTGATATCTTTTCAAAGGGTGACTTGAACGAGTAATAAAATGGGATACTTTAAGCGAATGGCGTGGTACAGAGCCTCTATGCGGAAAGCTCCGGAAGTAGCGCATATAAATAAAGCGTACGGACAATCTTATTTAACTAAAGGATTTGTAAAACGGCGCACTCGAGGATACGTGCGCTGGTTTTCTGCTTTTGTTTGTATTTCTGCTGCTTACTAGAATCTGAACTTTATCTGCAGAATGAAATAACTTAACTTTAGAAACTCAGCGTGTCAAACTTTTTTCGGGAACTAGAAAAACTTATAACCATAAAACGTTTGTTCATTCCCAATCGAATCCACAAATATTGTGTGTTTTATTGTCATCCCTTTGAATGCCGACAGGAACGTAAAAGTGCAAATAAACAAACAGATTGTAACGTCTGTGTCCACGGAAATGCACGATTACATAACAACAGCAGTATAATCCGCCTCGAAGTTGACTACTGTAGAGATCACACATTGGCAGTGCCAGCTGTGACAGTATCGTAAATGAATGTAACATAAATTTTGAAACTTGATTTTTATCTTATCGTTTCGTATTTTAAGACGTAAACCGAGCAAATCCTCGAGTAAATGTAGACACATTCTCCATCAGTGGCGTAAGAAATGCATATTACTTTCTTGTGAGACTCCAATATCGGTGCACCGCCGAGAGCTTGGGAGGGGAGGGCTGGCTAGCGAGGCCTGATTGAGCTGTCAGCGGTCGCGGTGAGCCGGGAGACGGTCACGTTCTAGCCCATCTTGTCGGGTGGAATGTTTGTGAAAGAATTCAGAAGGAATCTCATTGAACACACGAAAGTAATGCCACGTTAAATAAAATTATCTAAGCTTTAGGACATTTATTTTTCAAGTACTTAATTTGAGTTATTCAGGTAGACAGTCTTTTTGTGTTAGCAGCGATGGAATATTCAGTCACGAACAAGGTTATTTATAGCCTGCTGGTTTACAATAATCTGTTATTAATAATACTTTGACGAACAAAAAGAGGAAGGCATGCACATTTACAGTACATGATGATGTTTGGCAGCTGTCATTGATCTCGTTTCTCAAGACAAAATGATTTTAGTGCGACGACTTAGTTCGAACAGACAGCAAACTGTTGAAAATCAAAAGAGTTGTCGTCAGAGTAATCAGCATTCAGCGCGGATGATCGATGGCTGCCATCCCCAACTTTGGAGATTATTCTCGGAATTTCCAGATAAAGCTTCGGACACTCGCCGGTTAGGTTCCGAGGACTCAGCAGTAATAGAGAGTGATTTATAACTTGCAGTTCGTTCAAACATAACTCCAGTCAATCCTTTGACATTGGCTTAAAAACCAAAATGAATATTGTTTGTTAGCTATGTTTCAGGATGAATGAATATTTCATTTTCTTAGAGCATTTTTAATAATCCGAGTTGGTAAAAAAATATATCATGCAAGATAATAATAATTATAACTGTTTCACATATTTTATCCTTATGGTGATATTTACTTTTTGGGCAGGAGACTGTATAGTGCAAGTAAATATTATTTGGTGGTGCAGAACCTTGAGGCTATGCGCTGGCATCGGCAGGAATATTAAAAATATGAGTTGGTGCGACGCGCGTCTATTTTCAGGGAGAGAGCTTCCGCCCAGGGCTGCCACATATTAAAGTGCAACTTCCGGAAATGCACTCTTATAACGTAAAATCCTTTATTTGTATAGCTCACGAATATTTTTTATAAGTTCAAAGTTAATTTGGTTTTTACACAAAGTATTAGGTTCTGAAAATCTGAATAATAAATTAAGGTTTTAAATCTGATATTTATTTAATTATAAGACAATACATATTTAAGGTCATTTTTAATTTTAATATAATTTATGGAGCGAAATCTTTCTGAAAATTATAGCTATCAATGAATAGAAATTATATTGAACTACAATTTTAGTTTGGTGGTACTAAGTTAGTAATCAATTTAACCATTTCGACAACAATTCAACTTGCCACCCTAGTTATTTTATTCAAAACCTCTCAACATACAAAATGGCTCCGTCATATTGCAAATAAATGAAAGTTAAAAAAGCGAGGTGGCAGCCCTCGCGGACCTAATGAGCTGGTAATGAGGTCGGCAGATTGCGCCGCTCTAAACGAACCTACGTACAAATATACAGCTTTTAACTCAGCGACACGCCGGGGCCGAATACCTGGGGAATATAAACTTAAATCGAGCGAGATGTTTCTAACATTTTATTTTATTAAATTGCCAAACTGTTGAATACCTATATCTAAAAAAATTCACTCGTGAAATCAGCACAAAAGGAAATCACGTGATTTGGCTTTAATATGTTATTTCTCAAGGAAATTGGGGTACTTTTATACCAATAAGTAGAGCACGTGAAAAATAACTCTAAAGAACGAAATCCATATTGAGGACATAATAATAAACTACAATTTGGACTTCGTAGAGTGAGTTAGGTACAATGTGATTTTTCTTTCAACGTCGGTACAAACTATGAAAGACAGAAAAAATACTAGTGTACCTAAATCAAGTAGGTACGAGTAATTCAATGTGTATTTGGAAGATTTTCCATATTAATCCAGAGTTTTCAATATAAACTGCTTTTCATCAGAGCAACTGAGTTGCGCTGGCAGATGTTATTTAACTATGTTCTCGTACCTACTACGTAGCTTAGTCGCGAAACATTTTAACGATTTCTGAAATCATGAAATAAAAATGCAATATAAATAATTATGACAGACTTCTATTAAAGGGATATTTATGATACAAATAGCGAAATTAATATTTTAATTACTGGCTGTTTTAAGTTGAACTATCTTTGCTAAAATAAAAAAAAAAACATTACCCAATGTCCAAAAAAACTTATACATTTTGAGATTAGCTGTTATCTAGGCCTAACTTCTCATTAATATCATCTGTCTCCAATCTCCATATTACTTGGCCACTTCACACTTAACGTCCGATTATTCCCAACAACAGTGATTAGGCATCGAGCGAGCCCTTACATTAGCCTACTGCACAGTAAAATGGTAATAGTGCATAATAACATGTTGAGGATTTTCTTGAAACGTAGGAATGGAATCATTGTTTCTTGAAACGTAGGAATGGAATCATTGTTTCTTGAAACGTAGGAATGGAATCATTGTTTCTTGAAACGTAGGAATGGAATCACCTACATATAACATCAGCTATGGTTTCAATTAATTTAAGCCTAGTGCTGTAAAACCATGCAAACTCTGTGCAGTGTAACTAGCATTGCCATTTGCCACAGTTACAACATGGATCATTGTGTATCAATCATCTATGAATATCAATAATTCTATAGATTAGGTACAGTTATTAGTGCAAAATATAGCGCCTCATGTGTAGAGATGGGTTTCCACCCGGGTAAAAACCCAATAAAAACCCGTTTCATTCCACCCGTGGGTGTTTACACCGGGTGAAAACAAATAACTTTATAATTATTTCAATTGGTATCTTTTCTTTATTTTTATTACATTTTTCTCATTTAAGTTTATTGATTAATAAGTTATAAGTCAAATTTAACACTAATATGCATTTATATCGTGGCCAAATCGTAAAATGGATCACGTTATGATGATGTGACCAATTATTTTATAAAATGGTGTTATTTCAAGAATCGTTGAACCGATTTAGAAGTAACACAATAATTTGTGATCATGGCAAGGNTTCTGCTTAAACACTTGAAATCGAACCGCCCTTCCGCCACTGTAACGCATTGTAACGTTTTTCAAGACCTCCTCTCCCCCCAGATGCATTACGTAACACTAGAACACCCCCTTAGCAACA